ACTTATATATATATATATATATATATATATATATATATAATAATGTGTTGATAATCTCATGTTTCCATCCTTGATGTACATAGCTTTTTTGTCTTTTACATGTTTATCATATTCGAAACATTTGAATTTTTTTAATTTAGTATTTATTTTATTTGAATAACAATAATAATAACTAAATAACATAAAATAAAAAGAATGTTAAGATTGAAATATCACATTATTTTTATTTTATTGTATTTTAGTTGTTATTGTAATTCATGTAAATATCATTATTTAAAGTGTTTTTAAATTTTTATAAACGAGGATACAAATAATAAAAAGATAGAATTTTAAACTATCATTTCACTTTTACTGTTTGTTTTATTTTCATTTTATCACTTTAGTTTAATTTTATTATAGTCATTATATTATTTTTGCGTAATACGTATATATTGTTTAATGTAAAATTTTAAATTCTCTCTTTATTTCATGTTATTAAACTATATCTTCTTCTAAAAATATTTATTAGCGAAAAATCAATAAAGACATAAAATTAATATGACAATTTATAATATAAGTGTGTAGCTTCTCTTCCTTTATGCATTATAAATTGTTGAAACCTATATATACCAACACTATCTTAGGTCTTGTGCCCTATCAGTGTATTCAAAATTTAAATAATATTTCTAAAATTATTAATTTATATAATTTTATTTAAAATATTAATTTTTGTAATATATCTTTACATTAAATCATAATTCATTTATTAATCAATAAAAATATATTTCTTTAATTTTGTTTGTGAATCAAAACATATCTTCTTAAATATTTTTTTTATTATCAAAAATATTTTATAATTAATTAATTAAATTAGATTAAAACTATTTCATCATATTGACGTAAAGATTTGTAATGTTATTATGTAGCATCTCTATCTTTATGTGTTATAAATCATCGAGACTTTTATGTACCAATATTACCTTGGGTCTCATGCAATATAAACTTATCAAATTATATATTTATTCCATTCATTAAATAAAATTAATTTCATATTTTAAAATTTCTTAAGTCATATTTCAAATTTTGATAAATTAAATAACTAAACATTTGATTACTTAATTTTATTTTCTCATTTTATTATACAAATTTTTGCAACATTGATGTCTAGTTTATATTGCTTTCAATTGTCCAATAAATCATAAGAAATTTATGTATAACCTATATTGTCTTAAATTCTTTTTAATATAAATCTTTAAATTCAAGTATAAATTCAAACTTTTTTCCATTTACAAATAAAATATTTTTAAAATAATTAAATTATTTTTAAAAATTTGCAATATAGTTGTTTAATCTCTCTTTGCCTTCTATATTGTCTATCTTAAAATACATTTATAAAGGCATTATCTTATATCTTAAATGTTACAATCTTATGAAATTAATCCCAAAATAAACTTTCTTGTACTAAATTTAATTTTAATCAACCTTTAGAATTTTTATGATAGAACTAAGTGACTTTAAGTTTTCTATTACACTTTAGAATACGTAGGAGTAGGAACCAAATCTGTCGAGTCAAAACTATTTTCAAAATAATTTCTCTTTCCTAAGATACCAATTAATATTTTAATAAATAAATTTTATTTCTTTAGAAATAAAAAAATAGCAACACTTATTGTTTAGAGGTTAAATAAATATTTTTCAAAATTAAAATAAATTTGCATAATTAATTTAAGGTAACTATTGTTTAAATAGATGTTGTAGGGTGCTAATACTTTCCATACATATAAACGACTCTCAAATTCAAAGTTTTTCTTTAATAAACTTTGGTAGCGACTCCTTTGATTTCTTTAGAAATATTTTATCCTTAAAAGATGTTTTTCTTCAAACGTTTTCATCGTACTGTTACGATCCTGTAGTTGCGACAGATGGTGACTCCATTGAGGAGGTCTTTTAGAGAGTCAAGCCTTTGATAATTGACTATGCAAATATGTGTAATTTATTTCTATTTACTTAATCTTTTTTTCTTTTCTTATTTATTTGAATTAATTGAATTATGTTTCTTTTATTCATGTATTTATTTCATGTATGAATTTTATAACCTTGTTGTATATATTTTTCTTGATATTGTTCATAACCCTAGGATAAATGATTGTTGATGATTTTGGTGGTATACTTGTGTTGTTTAATTTTGCAGCTTTTATTTTTGTTGAGTTGATAAGGTTTGTGTGATCTCCCACACATCCCACTTACACACTTTAAGTGGGGCCCTATACCCGGTTTTGAGTATGCTTTAGATTAGAAGGGTTATGTAGCGGTGTTATTTTAGATGCACATCCTATTTGACTATCGTGAAAACCTTAGATAGAGTTTGACCTTTTCTTGATGTTTCACATCTAGAGACTCCCTACTGGTCTGGTCAACATAAAGGATTGAATCTTAGCTTTAGTGGACATTTTAGGACTACAAAGCTACCTTTAGTGAGTCTTTACACATAAAAAAACACTTTAGATCTTTAGGTTAGACCCTTGGGTTGTAACGCACCGAATTTTGGTGAAGGTAATATGGAGCTCAAGCGATAAGGGGGATGCCACATGGGAAACAGAGAGTAGAATAAGAGAATTGTATCCAGATTTATTCTTGTAACTAGTATGTGTTGAATTGAATTTCGGGGACAAAATCCCTTAAAGGTAGGGAGAGTTGTAACGCCCTAAATTTTGGTAATATTAATTATTATTATTCTTGTATATATATATACATATATATATATATATATTCATATGTGTGTTGATTTATTTGAAAATGATGTTTTATGTGTATTAAGTACATGAATGTGTATATATATGTGTATGTATGACTAGATAGGCTGAAAATGGGCTAAGTGCCTAAGTGCGGGGCGTAACACTGGGCTAATCTCGCTGCAGCGAGAGGGCTCTGGGAGGAAGGACCAGAACTGTCGCCTTCTCGCTGTAGCGACAGTTTGGGGTGCAATTTTGGGTGCAGTCTCGCTGTAGCGAGAGGGTCTCGCTACAGCGAGATTCTGCAGAAACCAGAGTGCAGTTTTCTCTGGTTTTTTCTTTATAGCGAGAGTGTCGCGACCAGAAAAGCATTTAGAGGGGGTTAGGGTTCGGGGAGAGTTATTTCTCCCTCTCCCTTCGAAATTCCTTTGATCCTTTCATTCCCAAAGCCCTATTCCACCGATTAATTGTCTCCAAAGCTGTTCAGGAGCTTGATTGAAGGTTGAATCCATGTGAGGAATGCTTGGAGGTAAGTTTTAATGGTTAGGGTTTCGATTTTTTATCCCTTTTCTCTGTTTTCGTGGTTCCCCTGGGTTCTCATGGAGTTTCTCCATGTGTTTAGGATGAAATCCATGAGGGGGAGCACTTCTTGGTGGATTTAACACGTAAGACGTCAATCCAAGGTAAGGGGGACTCTATCCTACTCTTTTGTGCCTGAATTGTTGTTATTTTGCTGAATATTGTGTTGTGGTTGAGTTAGTGGGTAGGAAATTGCTAAGAAATGTAATGTGGGCCATGTGTCGTGATATGTGAACATGATGTGTGTTGATCCGAAATTGATGGATGTGGATTGTATGTAAATGTTGTGTGATAGAATGAGGATGGGCACTTGTGCCATATATTTGAATGGATATTGTGAGAATGTGGGCCCAAGGGCCATGTAATGTGAATGATAATTGTGGGCTGTGTGCCGTGTGTAAGCATGATTACTGCATGCTTGAATGAAATATGTGTGAATGGGCATGTTAGCGCCGTTGTAATGTGTTGTGAATGGTTCAACGATACACTAGGGATGTGGGAGATGGGGACGGTCGAAATACCTTGGGGAAGAGGGAGTAGTGGTGACATTGACTGCAGAACGGGTGCACCACTGGTCACACACTCTCTTCCTGACTAGACCTGTGACCGCTATCTTTGCTGAGCGACCCATGACTGCCCACGTGGTATCCGTAAGGCAAAGGTAACCAACGACCATTCATGGTGTAAATCTGTGATCATAGTGCCACAGTGAGTGTGGTTGGTGTGTGTGTATGCACGAGTTTTGTGTACTGTACCTATGGATATGGAATGCTGCCTGTGATTGTGTTTGTTTAATATATTAAAAATGTGCTAGAGGTGAGACTCTACGTTGATTGTGTGTTTTTAGGTAGTGTAAAGTACTCACCCTTACATTCATTTTTCAGGTAATCAAGACGATTAGCACCGGACTCAGTGAAAGGGTGGATGGAACTGCTATAGGACTTAGGATATTATTTTGGAAAACTGTTGTATTTGAATAAGTCTTATAACAACTATTTGGTATTATTTGTAACCTCTTCCTTTATTTGAAATGGTTAATGAAACTTGAATTAAAAATGGAAATTTTATTATCTATAAAATTTGTGAAATTTCTTATTTATGGAAATTAAATTTAAGGTGTTACAATTTTGGTATCAGAGCAGTTCATCCAAATTGGACTGGGGTATCGAGTTGAAGTGTCCAAGATAAGCGTTGGTTGTTTTGTTTGCCTGAATTATAAATGTATTACTGATTTGATGTGCTGGATGGTGACTGTTAAATTGTGAAGCTTAGATTATGTTTGGTAGAGGTAGAGGTAGAGGAGCTAAAGGCACCAATGACCTCATGGAACGCATGGCTCAGATTCTAGAAGCCACGGTGCACAATCAAGGTAGAGAGCCGGCTGAGTATCGAGGTTTGTCTGCCTTTACTATGCATGATCCTCCAAAGTTTGAGGGTGGGTTCAATCCCGAAGGAGCCCAAAGGTGGGTGGCTGATGTGGAGAAGATCTTCAATGCAATGGGGTGTCGTGAGGAGAACAAGGTTGCCTATGCCACTTATTTGCTGTGTGGGGAGGCTGAGGACTGGTGGAGGTTTGCCGGTCAGACCTTGCCACAAGAAGATGGCTATGTCTAGTGGGAAACATTTAAGACCATCTTCCTGGGAAACTACTTTCCCCGGGACCTAAGGATGCAGAAAGTTAGGGAGTTCCTTGAGCTAAAGCAAGGAAACATGACCGTGGGAGAGTATAAAGCTAAGTTCCAAGAGTTGATGAAATATTGGCCTCACTATCAGCATGGTGATGGAGAGGAGGATTCGTGTGCTCAATTTGAGCATGGATTGAGGCCAGACATCCGGGCTACAGTCAGTGTGTTTCAACTGATAGACTTGCCCACTCTGGTGAGCAAGAGCAGAATCTTTGAAGCTAACTCAAGGGGGAAGACAGTGGACACTAGGGGAGCCGGCCCAGTGAGGCAAGATAGAAGACCCCCTAGCTTCTCAAGGGGACCGTATTCGGGTTTGAACAGCTCTCAGTCTCGAGGGAGTTCATCTCAAGAAAGGAGTAGTGGAAGTGGTTTAGGATCAAGCTCTTTCAGAGGGCCGCTTAAGTGCTTCAGGTGTGGAGGGCCACACATGGTGAAGGACTGCCCATAGCCGAGGATAACTTGCAGCAATTGTGGAAAGTTAGGGCATGTTGCCAATGAGTGCTGGGCCGCTAAGAGAAGCGGTAGTGCAAGTGCATCCCAGAGGTCGGAATCAAGAGAAAGTATAGGGCCAAGTACAGGACAAAAGCTGAGCTTTCCTAGTAGAGTCTTTGCTATGATCCGAGGTAAGTGCATTATTAAGGGTCGATTGCTTAATGTGCTGTTTGATTCGGGTGCTATGGACTCCTCTATATCTATGGACTGTGTGAAGAATCTAAATTTGTATGTGACTGAATTGCCGTGTAATGTTGTGGTGACTACCCCTATGGGTAAGCCGACTGTGACATCATGGGTGTGTCTGGGGTGTGCAATAATGGTACACAGTAGGGAGTTTGAGGTGGACTTAATTTGTTTACCTCTTTCTCAACTGGATGTTATTCTGGAAATGGATTGGCTTGCTGTCAACCATGTGCTGTTGGACTGTAGGAAGAAGACTTTGATCTTCGGTGCGACAATGACAGAGGTTCCAAAGCTTATGAGCCAGGGAGCGTGGGAGAACATAGTAAACGCCAAGGCTTTCATGGTTATGTTCTCAATGGAAACCAAAAGTGTGGTGGAGCCAGAGTATATTTTGATGGTGAGGGATTTCTTAGAGATTTTTCCCGAAGACGTTTCCGAGCTGCCACCTGAGAAGGAAATAGAGTCTGTTATTGCCTCATTCCGGGAGCAAGTCCAATTTTTGTGGCGCCTTACAGGATGTCACCAGTGGAGTTGGCAGAGGTCAAGAAGCAAGTAGAAGATCTATTACAGAAATGGTTTGTGAGACAGAGTGTGTCACCGTGGGGAGCACCAGTGCTCTTGGTTAAAAAGAAGGATGGAAGCATGAGGATGTGTGTGGATTACCGGCAGTTGAATAAGGTGACAGTCAAGAACAAGTATCCACTTCTGAGGATCGATGATTTGATGGAGCAATTAAGAGGAACAGCAGTGTTTTCAAAGATTGACTTGAGATCAGAATACCATCAAATCCGAGTGAAGGATGTAGATGTACCTAAGACGGCGTTCAGGACGCGGGATGGTCACTATGAGTATTTGGTGATGCCGTTTGGGGTGACCAACGTGCCTACGGTGTTCATGGACTACATGAACAGGATCTTCCACGAGTTTTTAGATAAGTTTGTGGTGGTGTTCATCGACGACATCCTAATTTATTCAAAGACTCAAGAAGAGCATGCCGAGCACTTGAGGATTGTCTTGCAAATTCTGAGAGAAAGACAGTTGTATGCGAAATTCTCCAAGTGCGAGTTCTGGTTGTCGGAGATCCAATTCCTGGGACATGTAGTGTCAAAGGAAGGAATCATGCTAGACCCTGCAAAAGTGGAAGCAGTGGATGAGTGGCTGAGGCCGACGAATATGACAGAGGTATGCAGTTTCCTCGGATTGGCAGGCTATTATAGGAAATTCATTGAGGGATTTTCTAAGATAGCGTTACCCTTAACAAAGTTAACTTGCAAGGGAAAGGAGTTCAAGTGGACTAAAGGGTGTGAAGCTAGTTTCTTGGAGGTGAAAATAAGATTGACTTCGGCGCTGGTGTTAACGCTGCCCAACCTGAAGCAAAAGTTTGACGTGTATTGTGATGCATCCGGACAAGGACTTGGTTGTGTTTTGATGTAAGACGGACAAGTGGTCACCTATGCCTCAAGGCAGTTACGCCCGCATAAAGTCAACTATCCGACACACGATCTAGAATTGGCCGCAGTGGTTTTTGCCCTTAAGGTATGGAGGCATTACTTATATGAGGCGAGGTTCGAGGTGTTCAATGATCATAAAAGCCTGAAGTATCTATTTGATCAGAAGGAGCTGAATATGCAGCAGAGTAGATGGATCGAATTCCTCAAGGACTACGACTTCACATTGTCTTACCACCCTGGCAAGGCAAATGTGGTAGCCGATGCATTGAGCTGGAAATCATTGCACGTGGCAGCAATGATGGTGAAAGAGATGGAGTTGATTGAGGAATTTCAAGACATGAATTTGGCCATGGAGCTGAGGCCGGGGAGTTTATATCTCAGAGCAATGACGATTGACAATGACTTCCTGGTGTACGTCTGAGATGCTCAACAAAGAGATGCGTTCCTGCAAGACATGATGGGACAGAAGGATGAGGGAAAAGACTTGGATTTCCACCGTGATGAGAACGGGGTGATCAAGTTTCAGAACCAAGTATGCATTCCTTAAGTGGATGAGCTGAGACAAATGGTGCTAGAAGAAGCACATAAGAATAGGATGAGTTTTCACCCCGGTGCAACTAAAATGTATCAGAACCTCCGGAAGAGTTTTTGGTGGAATGGTATGAAGAGAGACGTCGCTGAATATGTAGCTAAATCCCTAACTTGTCAGAAGGCGAAAGTAGAGCACCAATGTCCACTTCGGTTGTTACAGCCGTTGGAGATCCCTGAGTGGAAATGGGATAGTATTTCCATAGACTTTGTTTTTGGGCTACCTAAGACCAGGAACAACCATGATGCCATCTGGGTAATAGTGGATCGGTTGACCAAGGCTGCACACTTTCTCCCGATCAATATGAAGTATAAATTGAAGCGACTTGCAGAGTTGTATGTACGGGAGATAGTCAAGCTGCATAGAGTGCCGACTAGTGTGGTGTCAGACAGAGATCTGAGGTTTACCTCGAGGTTTTGGGAGAGCCTGCAACGGGCGTTGGGGACTAAGCTGACACTGAGCTTGGCTTATCACCCACAGACTGACGGTCAGACTGAACGGACCATCCAATCCCTAGAGGACTTGTTAAGGACTTGTGTACTCGAGCAGCAGGGAACTTGGGAAGAGTGCTTGCCGCTAGTGAAATTCACGCACAACAACAGTTATCATGCCAGTATTGGAATGGCGCCGTTCAAGGCCTTGTATGGGCAGAAGTGCAGGACTCTGTTGTGTTGGTATGAAACCGGAGAGGCGACTTTGTGTGCGCCGGATATGATCCAAAGGCAGAATAAGCAAATCAGAATGATCAGAGATAAAATGAAGGCTGCGCAAGACAAACAAAAGAGCTATTATGATAAGAGGAGGAAACTATTAGAGTTTCAGGTGGGTGACCACGTATTTCTGAAGGTCTAACCTGTAACCGGAGTAGGGAGAGCTCTCAAGTCTCGGAAGCTATCTCGTAAGTTCATTAGGCCGTTCAAAGTGCTGAGTAGAATTGGTCCTGCTGCATATCGGATAGCATTGCCTCCGAATCTCTCGAATCTACATCTGGTGTTCCATGTGTCGCAGCTTAGGCAGTATGTGTCGGATCCTTCCCATGTGATTGATCTTCACCCGGTTCAAGTAAGAGAAGACTTGTCTTATGATGTGTACCTGGTGAGGATTGCAGATCGCCGTTATTTGAAAATGATGTTTTTTATGTCTATTAAGTACATGGATGTGTGTATATCTGTGTATGTATGACTGGATAGGCTGAAAATGGGCTAAGTGCCTAAGTGCGAGGCATAACACTGGGCTGTTCTCGCAGCAGCGAGAGGGCAATTCTGGGTGCAGTCTCGTTGTAGCGAAAGGGTCTCGCTATAGCGAGATTCTGCAGAAACCAGAGTGCAGTTTTCTTTGGTTTTTTCACTGTAGCGAGAGTGTCACGACCAGAAAAGGATTTAATGGGGGTTAGGGTTCGGGGAGAGTTATTTCTCCCTCTCCCTTCGAAATTCTTTTGATCCTTTCATTCCCAAAGCCCTATTCCACTGATTAATTGCCTCCAAAGCCATTTGGGAGCTTGATTGAAGGTTGAATCCGTGTGGGGAAAGCTTGGAGGTAAGTTTTAATGGTTAGTGTTTCAGTTTTTCATCCCCTTTCTCTGTTTTCTTGGTTCCCCTAGGTTCTCATGGAGTTTCTCCATGTGTTTAGGATGAAATCCGTGAGAGGGAGCACTTCTTGGTGGATTTAGCGCGTGAGACATCAATCCAAGGTAGAGGGGACTCTATCCTACTCTTTTGTGCATGAATTGTTGTTATTTTGCTGAATATTGTGTTGTGGCTGAGTTAGTGGATAAGAAATTGCAGAGAAATGTAATGTGGGCCATGTGCCGTGATATGTGAACATGATGTGTGTTGATCCGAAATTGATGGATGTGGATTGTATGTAAATGTTGTGTGATAGAATGAGTATGGGCACCTGTGCCGTATATTTGAATGGATATTATGAGAATGTGGGCCCAAGGGCCATGTAATGTGAACGATAATTGTGGGCTGTGTGCCGTGTGTAAGCATGATTACTGCATGCATGAATGGAATATGTGTGAATAGGCATGTTAGTATCATTGTAATGTGCTGTGAATGGTTCAGCGATACACTGGGGATGTGGCAGATGAGGACGGTAGAAATACCTTGGGGAAGAGGGAGTGGTGGTGACACCAACTGCGGAACAGGTGCACCACAGGCCACACTCTCTCTTCCTGACTAGACCTGTAACTGCTATCTTTGCTGAGCGACCCGTGACTGCCCACGTGGTATCCATGAGGCGGGGGTAACCAGTGACCATTCACGATGTAAATCTGTGATCACAGTGCCATAGTGAGTGTGGTTGGTGTGTGTGTGTGTATGCATGAGTTTTGTGTACTATACTTATGGATATGGAATGTTGCCTGTGATTGTGTTTGTTTAATGTATTGGAAATGTGTTGGTGGTGAAACTCTACGTTGATTGTGTGTTTTTAGGTAGTGTATAGTACTCACCCTTACATTCATTTTTCAGGTAATCAAGACGATCAACACCGGACTCAGTGAAGGGGTTGATGAAATTGCTATAGGACTTAGGATATTATTTTCAAAAATTGTTGTATTTGAATAAGTCTTATAGCAACTGTTTGATATAATTTGTAAGCTCTTCCTTTATTTGAAATGGTTAGTGAAACTTGAATTAAAAATGGAAATTTTATTATCTCAAAAATTTACGAAATTTCTTATTTATGAAAATTAAATTTAAGGTGTTACATGGGTGATCCAAAATAGGACACAAAAGGAGTATGTTTGCTACATTTTGAAACAATAAGATTCACATGATTCTCTATTTTAGTTTTGTTACATCATTGTCATTTCACATATCATTGCGTGTCATTTATCCAAGGATCATATTTATGATTATCCCTGTAACACTTGTTCTAACTTTAAAATTGATTTTGAAGAAGGTCAAGGATAATGATTTGCATGTTTTCTGCACTGTCATATGAAACATTTTTAGGTATCAATTCATTTAAAGAAAAAGTAATGATTCATTAAAAGAATAATAATTCATATTGTTCTTCATCACATGTTTGTTTCATTTATACAAACACCTTGTGAATTATTGATCTTCTTTAGAATCAATGTTAATTCTTATATGAATAAATTCATCTATTTAGAATCAAGGTTGGTCCTTTTCACATTGGGATCTTATATCAATAAAACAAATACAAGATTTTGAATAATTTCTCATTATTTTCTTTTATTTATAGGTTAAGAATCACAAAGTTATTTCAGTATTTTAAAAAATGAAAATTAATGTGGGATCAAGTAGCAATGAGGTGAGATAAGTTGAGTTGAGAAGAAAATTACTTCTGAAAGTTAAATAGGCTAACACAATTAGTCTATATATGGCTCACAGATGATATCATTAAAAGGTCAAGTGAGATTAAATGTCCGATCACTGATTTTTGCTGAGGTTTTAGATTGGGTAAAAAAGTGGTCAAGAATGGGCTAACCACTAAGCTAGCTTGAAAATATTAGTAAGGTTGAGTATCTCCCGCCCCACTAAATCT